CTGCGACTGTCGCAACGGGGGGTCGTAAAGAGGGCACCGGCGTGGGGGGGGGGGTTGTAAGAGAGGGTGGTCCGAATTAAAAAGAATGTATCTAGGAAATAAGCTTCTCAGTTCTATCTTCTCTACTCTTCAAAAAGAGCATTTTTCTCCTTGCAAAAAAGGTGTCGCAGACGGGGATCGAACTTGTTGCCACAAGGATGACCGAAGATTCCAGAGACACTTTTAGAGGCTCAAACATTAGACATGTATGTGTGACAAGAATGTTAAATGTACCAAGTGGAATACAACTGGTTCTGAAGCGTCAGTGAAGTATCACACTCTCGGCAAAAGCGCTCATATCTACCAGCGATAACCATCGATAATTTTTAAAACTTTTTTGTAATGTCCTTGAAGGGCCTATACAATTTACCTGGACTTTGGAGATGGTCTGCTACAAATGTGCAGAATCTGGTTATATTTCATAGCCTGTAGATTTTTCTAAAATTTTATATGTGGCAACAAAAGATGAAGAAAAGGGGGCGGGGTCGTATCTGGGTCGCATCTAAATTTATTCGTCACTATGGAGGCCTGCTCGCTGCAATTTTGCGATTTTACGATGCCATCCTCCTACTTTCTATCATAAAAATTTTGGGCTGTTGCCTAACTTCTCCGGTGACTTACAAAATTTCAAACTCAAAAATCCCACTTTTTGTTTTTTAGGATCGTATCTGAATTTGCGAGAGTCGCATCTTAATTTTTTCGAGCTTAATGCTCCTCAAGGGCTAAAAGTTTTTGTATGGATAGTCTCGGTACTATACTTGGGGAAATTCGAAATTTTTTTCGAATATTCGAATATCGATAGTCGAAAATTGAAAATTTCGAATATACGAATATCGAATAATATTCGAAAATCGAAACTCTCGAATATTCGATTATCGAATATTATTCGATGGTCGAATATTCGAGTAAAATTGGAATTTTCGAATATTCGACTATCGAATATATTCGAAAACTGAAAATTACGAATATTCGACTTTCAAATTTTATTCGAAATCTCAAATTTTCGAATATTCGACTTTTCGAATCATTCGCATTCGAATCATTTATTCGAATGACCGAATAATTATTCGATTCGGTCCCAAGTATACTCGGTACTATGCTACAAGACCTGTTCTTTGCAGCCTCTCAATTTTTTCCTGACTTTAGTTACGAATTCTCGTGGTACCATGCTCATAGTTTTTGACATCGTTCTGGATGGCTCTAAAAAGATTTTTTTCACAGAAGAAACTGTGCAAGAGATAGAGAGATAGAGAAAGAAGCTTCTCAGTCGAAAACATCTTCTGTAGTTCAAAAATGTCATTTTTTCTCCGTGCAAAAATTTTGTCGCATACGGTAATCGAATTTGCTAGCCTGATGTATGCCTGAAAATTCAGAAAAAATTGCAGAATCCCAAACATTAATGAAGGTGTGTATGTGTGCTGCTGCAGATGCTGAGCGCACCCATTGGATTAGATATTCTCCTTCCGAAACCTCACTTAAGTTCTCCGCAGGGGTTTTTTGAGATTGACATTCATTTACAGGGCTCGGCACGAGGTGGCTTACAAGCAACTGGGTATCGTTTTTGGGATGAAAAGCAAAGGGGGTTTCGTTTTTGTGACCGAAGACACACGCAAAATTGGCGATTTGGCGACGTTTTTTTTAGTCGACGTTTCGTTTTTTGGAGGATTTTTAGGGAAAATGGTGGGGGGTCAAAGGGGACTTTGTAAAAATACCCAAAAGTCAAGGGGGACTTCGTTTTTCGCATTTTCATCTAGCCACCTCGTGCCGAGCCCTGTTTATTTATGCAGGTTAATGCGGGCAGAGGAGATAAGGAAGGTAGATGGGGAGAAGGGTCGTACGGATGGTACCTTTAAAGGGGGCTGGGATCGTAAATGAGGGTCCCGGATCGCATCAACACGCTTGACCCTGCTTTCATGTGAGCAGAAGTTTTCAAAATCCTGTCTTTCGGCTGCTAAGAGATCGATTGATACAAGGTGATCACACGGCCTTATAAGCGCACAAAAGTAAATGAATCTTGTATTACAAGAGAGCTAAAAATGCTACTACTACGAATAAGCCAAAACAGGCGAAGTGCACGCGATTCAGAAGCGGAAAATCAACGCTAAGCGCGGCAATACTTTCCAGCTACCCTCTATACGAAGCAAAAGGTCCGCTTGCTTTGCACTTACAGTTTTATGCGACTTACAAAGATTACAGCCATAGGCCATGTTATGCTGAAATTTTGGAGGTTTACAATTTCCCTCAAATCATATCTCAACAAGCATTTTGTGGCACAAACCTTCGGCAAAACATATGATTCGAGGAGAGCTTTTTCTAGCGTAAATTCCCCGGCTATAAAGTGAAAGAAAATTCCATCTTGCTGTACTGTCAAGGTAGGAAACCGCTTAATGGACAAGGCTCTAGAACTAAAAGAAAAGAGTTTGCAAAATATTAGGTTTCAAAGAAAGTTCCCGGGCACTTTTGGAAATTTCATTTTCAAACGCATTTTTTCGGCGCTCGGTCAGACTTTGACACCAAGTTTTTTACACTGTTTACTAGAGGGAAGAATGAAGTTTTCAATACGCTTTCTGGCATGCAAGACGTGTTTGACCTACACATCAAAAAAGGAAATTTTTATAACCAAAAAATTGCGCAGTTTTTCTTCCTGCGTCCGTTTTTCTATGCAGTTCAAAAAATTTCGTCCAAATCATGAGTGATCTGATTGAGGAGCCTAGTTTCTAATTCGCAGCTGCACTCGAGTTTTGCGATTTGTGCTCAGGAATTACAAGCTGTCGAACTTGCCTTTGACTGCAACTCTCTTTGCAGCTGGCGTCGCTTCTGCGGGGATCGCCACGCCTGGATGATGGGTCCAAAACATGTGTGAGGCATTACCCCAACAATATTCGCGTACTCAAAGATTTGGTCTACCTTAGCAGAACGACAAGACATCAAAGTCACTTAGTCGAAAAATGGTGCAATTTTAGGGGGTAAAAAACGATTGACTTTCAAACCTTCTGGGAAAAGTTTTTTTTTGCAGGTGGTCCTTCAAAAACATGAATGACCCCATAATAGCCCCAGCAGACCTCTATATAACTACAGCATCTAGACTCTTCAGCTCTCATCTTGCATGAGATAATCCTGCACAAATAGGCCACTTTTCGTACGACCTTTTTCTCTTCTGCGCATACTGGTGGACCGCAGTGAGGTGCAAAGAAGCCAGCAAGACAAGCATATGTTGTGGACATGATTGTCTTTGCAATGAAGTTTGTAGCTTTAAAGAAGAGTCATTTCGGGGCCCATTTTCGGGCGCCCCCTCCCCCCCCCCCCCGAGAATGGGTCTCGAAATTTTTAAGAGTTACTTAAATGTGTTATAAAAATGTGCAAAGGACTTGTCTTTACTTGTAAATAATTAAAATCTGGAATAAATTAAAATTAAATAAATTTGTAAAGATTTTTAAAAATATAAGTTAGCCTTTAAAAAATTTTTTTCGAGGGCGTGGCCGAGGCCGCGCCCCTTTTTTCCAGATTTTAGGGGTTGGGGACCCGCAAAAATTTTGAGAAGCACCCCAAAAATTTTTTCGGATTGCGTGGCTAACGCCATGCACCTTCATTAGAAAAAAATTTTTGTCGCCCCCCCCCCCCCCGAGCCGAAATCCTTGGTACGCTACTGGACCTAATATATTAGGTCGTTCCGAAAGTAATATCGCTTTTTTCGAATGAACGCCACTATTGGTGGAATCAACATTTTCAAGAGATCTTAGGAGCATTCGATGCAGCATTTCATCCTCTTTCTAAAGGATCCAATGCACTGCCTAATGTTAAATGAGCTCTAGAAAAACTACCAAAATCTGCGACTCATTTTGCCATGGTCAAGTTCGGCTATTTTTCTAAATTTTTGTATTTAATCTCCGAAAAAGTAAAAGTGGCAGGTAGGTAGAGCAAACACTATAAAACACAGAGTAATTTTTTCTTTTCCTTAGTTTGATTCTCAGAGTTTCTACAATTAATTTCGTAATGCCATTAAATTCCATATTTAGTCAAGTCAAACCTCGCAGGACAACAACCGGCAAGCGACTCAGGCATTCGATGCACCTTTTTCTCCTCTTTCTAGCGTCGTTTTTTGTTTCGGAATCATCGAGTTTTCCGGGATAAAATCATCATAATTTAACTTTTCCAAGGCACCCCAAAGTGTACCCGAATTTTCGAAAGTTGCTAACCGAAGCGGTGACCGAAGCTCGTTTGGTTTGTAAAATTGCTGCCAAACCATAATCCATCTTTGTAAGTTTCAAAATCCGGAGACTTGTTGGCGTTTGATGCACTTGTGTCTGAGACGAGCCTGCTAAAATTCGGTGGTTTCATCAAAAAAATCTGTACAAAAATTATGACGAGCTTTGGAAAGTAGAAAAAAGTTGTGCTGTTTCCTGTAGGATTTGCTCTATACATCCATTAATTGGACTCCTTCCGAGGGTTGTTATAGAAATTCAGAAAAATTGTGAAACTTGGCTTTCTGAAAAAGCAAGGATCGCAGATTTTGATAATTTTTCGGGAGGCTATTCTGTTTTGTGCAATGCTTGTACAACCATTAGAAAGAGAATGAAATGCTGCATCAAATGCTACCAGAATCTCTTACACATCATTGTTCCACGAGATGTGGCATACGTTTGAAAAAAGCGACACTACTTTCGGAACGACCTAATATAAGCAGTAATCATTGAAAATAATTATTTCCTTTTCCTTTTCTGTTTACATTGGAGTCTTGTATACTACATTCTCGCTGCTGGGTTCATGCGTATTCTCTAGCAGGCAAATATGCCTAGTGACAAAGAGAGACCGGCTTTCTTGGTATAGACCCGTTTTGTAGTTTTTATGTAGAAGACTTCACACAAATTCAAAAGATTTTCATTCAGTTTTTTGCAACATCTACTTTAGTCGCAGACGTCATCATCTTCGGAAAATCTAGAAAAATCCCTGCTTTTTCTTACATGGCGAGGAACAAATGGCACGCTGATGTAGCATATGCCGCATTTTTCTACAACATCTACACTGTAAGATATAATGAGTTAATTCATATGTCTCTTTCTTTTCTATCTTTTCTTTGTATCGTATGCACTCTTATAGCGAAACGGAGAAAAATTAAGTAGAGGCCCGGGATACGTCGGAGTACCGCTAGGTTGTCAACAAGTAAAACCGGCTCCATATATGATTGGAGGTAGAGTCAATCTTCTGATTGAGACGCGAATTTCTATAAAATCCTTTATTTCAGCTACAATACGCAAGGATAGAGATAGTCAAGAAGTCTACCTTCAAGTAACCGATTGTAGTGTGGTTGCGAACTGGAGCGTAGAAATTGAAGACTCATTCCGGAAGATATTCGTCCCCAATGGTGCTGAGTGGTAAGATATATAACCTAATGTTAGGCTAAGAAACTTTTGATGCGCCTGTGCAAAATCCTACATTTTGCTGACGAAACTTATTACAGTCGTTCGGAACGGTAACCTGTTATGCTTTTTCATCTGCATTGCTTTTCACATACTCATTTTGGAGATTAAAGCTGTAAAAAAACTACTTTTTTTCACTTGTTGAGTTAGCTTGCCAACATTTTGAAACATCGCAAACATTTTGAAAAGTAAATTTGGGATGACTTTTTTGATGTGATGTTTTTATCCGAGGAAGAAATATGCGAGAAAAAGACATTGCAAAAGAACTTGTAATATCCGAAAATATGTAAAGCAGAAATTACTTTTTTGGTTTTTTTTAATCGAAAATCATAAATACTGAAAGGAACATTGGATCGGCACACGCTTTTCTTTGATAGAAAGAGTGCGCAAGAAAGTTTGCATTACTCTTTGCACCACTTCAGCGTAAGCCCCAAAAACTTGGCGAGCTAGCTTCCACAAGTTGTAGACACTGTACTGTTTACTGCTCCGGTCAGGGCTCGGTACGAGCTGGCACCAGGGAATTTCCAAAACGAAGTCCTCCTTGAATTTCGCTAACTTTTACGCCCGGCCCAAAAAAATCCTCCAAAAAACGAAACGTCGACTAAAAAAAAAGACCGAAGCCTCCGGTTTTTAAACACCAGTCACATTATGTAGATATACGGAAGACAACATAAAACGTCTTGGGTAAAGCGTTTGATCTTTTTTTCATGATATGAAAATACAACAAGATTCTAACAAATCATGATTTTTCCAAAAATAATGCTATATAACTTTCGATAAAGCAGAAGGCATTTTATGTGTAAAGAGCCTTCCAAATGGTTCTTGGTACTTAATAATTATGTTTCAGGCAAAGGATTCCATATGGTCAGATACGTTTAAGGAATAATAACATTTTCGTCGAAAAATGAGTCGCGTTTTTTTGACTTGTAGAGTGAAAATAATCAAAGATTAAATTAGATAGAATAAATCTTTATTCTGGAACGAAGGTATACACGAGTGAAGCATATCCCAAATAAGCTTCTGCTTTTCTATCTCCCACTAGCTTCATTTCAAAATGAGGGTTCATAGGACGTACTCCATGAGGTGTAAGGCCTCAATCTTGCTTTTTGTGTTATCGCTTTTTTGCAATAGGATAATCCAAAACTCTCTTCTCACCTTTACAATCATCTTATATATGAAGCTGAATGTGTGTGTGTGTGTGTGTGTGTGTGTGTGTGTGTGTGTGTGTGTGTGTGTGTGTGTGTGTGTGTGTCTGTGTGTGTGTGTGTGTGTGTGTGTGTTTCAAATAGAAAATTCCATTTCTCAACCGATCCGGACAAAACTTGGCACACATACACTTCGGGGAGGGGCGGGTGTCTTAGGCTACTTCCCGTCATCGGTCCATATCGATTTTGTCGATTTTCTGCAAAGTTCGAGCTACGGGGCTGAGAGTTAACATAGGAGGGTAAGGAGCACGCTGACTACGAATCCAGTATTAGTTTCTGGAATTATTGACTACTTTGGTCAATTTTATCGACTTTTTGTAAAGCTTCACTTGCGGGACCGGGAGTTGGCATAGGGGGGTAGTCTATCATGCTGATTACGAATACAATATTATTTTCTAAAATTACCCATTACTTTTATCGACTTTATCGATTTTTTGCAAAGTTTGAGCCATGGGTCCGGGAGTTGGCACAGGGGGTAATCGAGCACACTGATTACTAAAACATTGGGAATAGTGAATTGGCATGTAGACGTGGGCACAGGGAAAAGTTGTGTAGAAATAGGGATAAAAGCTTTATCATAGTGTTTTGACAGGGCAGTGCGGAGCCGGGCAAACCAGCTAGTCTTATATATAAAGCTGAATGCCTGTTCAAATGTGTGTCTGTGTGTCTGTCTGTCTGTATGTATGTTCCGCATAGAAATTTTATTTTTATTTTTTGGATGATACGGAACAAACCTGGCACACCCTTTGCTTAGAAAATTCTACGAATCTCCAACATGCCCACAAAAATTGCGCACTAAATCATCATCTCTCCTCCTATGTACCGTTTCTAGATTTCTTCTTCATCTAATCGAGAAAACGAAAGTACACAGTCTGTACAAAAACGAAGCTATGCTGTAATCTTGTAATTGTATACTACAAGCCCTTAGGAGTACAACCGTAGATTCTCAATTTTCCACAGATATTTGTTTTTGAAAGTTACCGAATTTACCTCTCCTCATTTGATTGTTCTATGCTAAAATCAATATTTCTCGAAAACTAGGGCTTGTATGCAATCATATGAGTGAGAATAGCATAGCTCAATTTCCGTTGAACATGAAAATTTTCGTTTTCTCGATTTTTCAATGGGGAAGAATTCAAGAACGGTACATACGAGTGTCCAAGTATGCAATTTTCTGAGCAAGTTAATTCGTCTTGCGAGCCTTCAGTACGACTCAGATTTTAGATGCATTTGCAGTGAGTCGAAAGTGGTTACAATGGTTGGTGCTAACTTTTGCAGACCATCTTATAGAGCTTGCTTTGCTCTATCGAATGCCGTCCTGGACCCTATTGAAAATGTAAACTGTATGACTTATCGCCTTAAGAATTGAGTGTCACAAGACTTATGTTACAACCTAATATTTAGTAAACTTCGGGTGCACAACGGATGCATGTAAAAAAGTCAAAATTATGTAAACTTGAGTTTTATCATCCTCAACGTGGCATTAGGGTTACATATGCTACCTTAACTTGGAGAAAAAGTAGGGCATGCTTTTTATTCCAATTATCATAGTTTTTTTTAAATATAATTCAGTATTTATCGCTTAACACTCATACTCACACTAAGTTTGAGGCCTTATGGTTACGTGTGCGTTGCAAACGAGCCATTTTCCATTTTTTCAGTAATGTAAAATACCCAGAAAAAAAACTTGCCACAACATTCAGTACAATGTTTTTTTTCCGCAAAGCTCCGCAGCTTCTTCTACCCCTTGCCCTTTATAAAACGATTCGGTGTCATATGGTATATCATACGTGCTCTGTAAACGAGGCAGTCAATGGCCTCGCAGGTGGAATTGTGCAAAAAATTGATAAAATCGATATGATTGATGACAAAAATTAGTGACACCCGCCCGCTCTGAAGTGTATATGTGCTGAGTTTGGTCCAGATTGGTTCATTAATAAAAATTCTTAGTCGAAACATACATACAGACTACAGACAGGGCCCGGCAGAGGTTGTCAAATGACAAGCTGCAAATCGTTTTTGGCAAAAAAAGCAAAGGGCAAATCGTTTTTGCGGGGTCCGGAGCGGAGCCCCGGAAAAAAATTGGTAGCCGTTCTCTGCTTATCATAACACATGTTATGTGCCTCAAAGGCGAACACTGGAGTTCGCGCGCATCAAATCGCGCAGTCACTGATTGCCGCACGCGCCGTCGCTCAACCGATGCGTTCTGTAACAGCATACATGACTAATTCTCGAAATATGCATGACGATATGGCACCACATTTTGTAAACGAACGGAGAGAGGCTAGTGAAAACAAAGTATGAAAAATTATGAAAAGTTTATGTGAAGGGAATGAGTACTAACAGGGCCTGGCACCAGCTGGCACGGGGCAAGCTGGATATCGTTCTTGGGGCAAAAAGCAAGGGGGGTTTCGTTTTTGTGGGCGAAGACACGTCAAAAATTGGCGACCTTTCCTTTTTTGGTCGACGTTTTGTTTTTGGGGGGATTTAGGGGAATTTTCCAGGTTTTTAGAGGGGATATCATTGAAGGTCAAAGGGGACTTCGTAAAATTTTGGGAAAGTCAAAGGGGACTTCGTTTTGAAAATTTCTCGGTGCCAGCTCGTGCCGAGCCTTGAGTACTAAGCATTTTTTCCCAAAATTTTGCAAAATGGGTAAATGGAGATGTGAATTCAAATGGCTCGTTTGCAACGCGCAGATGAGGATATGGTATGAAACTATGTAAGTACGTGGACACAAGCCTGTAGGAGTTAACCTAGGAGTTTAGATGAAAAATTATGTAACTGAAGGTTGTGGCGAACTTTTTTTCTGAAAATTTCTTGTTACCAAAAAATGGAAAAATGACTCGTTTGCAATGCAGAGGTGACGAAATTGCGCGAGATTTGGTGTGTATATGCAGTAGGACTAAGTAACAAAATGAAAATTATGGAAAACTTATGTGAATGAAGAGCGTGCTTAACTTATTTCCAAATTACGTTGTCATTTGACAATCTAATGACAACCTGAAGTTGTCAAAATTTTCAATTCTAATTTTTCAAAATTTTTACATAAATCTACTCTACACCTAAAGGTTAGAATATTTGGAATTTTGGTTTCAAACCTCCTCCTCTCCTCATTACCAAAGCCAAAAATAGCCTCAGCAGCCCCGTTTCCTAACAAGGGAATGGTCAGAAGTCGAGTGGCCAATCCAAACAAGCTGCAAACCATTCGATGCAGCATAGAACGCTGATTTCAAATCTGCCTTCCATACCTGCAGAGCGTCTTTGTAGGCGAAGTTATGAGCAGCCTTACTGCGAAAAAATCGTACACAAAAATTGTGAGATTAGGCACACTATTGCCCTTTTAGCTCACCTTCGAGTACGAGCCATATGAAGAGTCCTAGTTACATGTTCTGATCCAACACTGAGCCGAGAATGGCTCTGTACGGCCAAGTTTGACCTTTACACGTACGATTTCTTAGCAAAATAATGACATTTAATAACTTATAATTTCATCTACAAAAGCGCTCTGCAGATAAGGAAAGCATATTTAGAGTCAGCGTTTTATGCTGGATCTAACGATATGTAGTTTGCTCGAATTGGCCACTTCGATTTCTGACCATTCCCTTGTAAGTAGTGGAAAGCCGCTCCAATCGCTACGGCGGCGTCACTCATTCCTTTAAACACCTTTGCTGATTATTTATCCAAGCTTCAGATTTTTGGTATACTAGAGTAGGTTGTTGTTGTGTTTACTCTCAGTGTTGTACTCATATAAGTT